TTGGAAGAACAAATAAATATACTGGTCAGCATCTTTATGATATAACTGTATAGGAAAAGATATAGAAATAAAAAAAGAGAATTTAGAAGTCTTTAAAAATACCTAGCATTACCTAATTATACCTCAACTTCTGTTGATAGCTAGTACTTAAGTTATTTACCCTGCTATTTCACAATGTTAAGTGCTTAATACAAAACACCACATAGGCTTTGTAACTTACATAGCTAGAGTAAAATAAAGTCTTATTTTCTAATAAAGTAATAGATAAAAATACATCTGTTAGTGATTCTAATAATAAGATTCAGAAAAAATTTCGGTGATTTTTAAATAGTAGTTTTATCAGAACCAATCACTTGTATTAATGTTTAGAAATTATATTTTTATTTGTAATTTTTCATTACTTCTGAATCCATGTTTCACACTTTTTTTCCACCTTATTCTTTTGCATCACTTATTGTAGTCATTCTTCCAATTAACATCAGTATTAATAACCATATAGCAAACCTCATGACACTCAGCCCCAGAGGTGTTTCTTTGCTGTGAGTTAAGCAATCTGATTATTACAGCATTATTAACTAATATTAGAGCTAGCCATGTATGTCTTCTAGAGCAGCAACAACAGAGCTAATTGCAGATTTTCTTTGTGTCAGAAGTCAAATTTCCTTAATTTGTGGAGCAGCACGGTTAATACATTCACTCTTCCCACAACCTGTGAAGAAAAGGTAAATAATTCATTATCAGAAGACAGCAAAGTAGTGTATTTGCTGGGACTTCACTTGGCATTGGTCTTGTTTTACCTCAGACTTCTACAGTAAAAATAAAAGTAAGTGTTAAACCAAATGAAGAAGAACACATATCCTGGTTTTGTTTTGCTCTGTTTTATTTTGTTTTTAAACAAGCTTGCGTATTTAGGATATAAATGCAAATAAACTTGCACAATGAAAGCAATGTCATAATGACAAATAGCAATCTAATTTTGTCAGTAGATTTGTATGATTATGCAAATAGTTAAATTAACAACTTAAAAGTAAAGCCCTAAAGTAGCAACTCAGAAAAGACCCTTAAATTAAAAAAGGCTGCATAAATGTGGTTAGGATCTCAATATGGTTTAGAGCAATTGCAAATATGATTTCACAGATGCTTACGTTTTTATGTTCACATTTATTTCACAAGGTTAAATGAACTGCTGTTAGCACTAACAAAATGAAGTGTCATGAAGGTTTTCTGTAGGAAAAAAAAGCCCTGATTCCGACAGACAAGAGTTTTGTGATGAGTTTTCTACAGAGGCTGGAGTACGTCTCTAGTTATGTGCCAATGATAAGTAGTCAGTCATACAATAGGTTCATCTTGTTTAGACTTAATGGCTAGAAGGTTGCACCCCAAGAAATGGTCTGGCAGAAGAATTTGGAACACAGAACAAATGGAAGTTTCTGTGTTTCCTTTTGGGTGCTTCTGACTCCAGGTGAGGTATTTTTTGTTCTTTCTGTGAATTAAAAACTTTAAAATCCCCCAAAAAATTCTCCAAATCCATGGGTATCTTCCAAATGGAAAACATATTTGGAGTATATATCTGTATGATAAAAATATCTATCAACACAAGACAGGCTGGACTTGTTCATAATTTAGATCTTTGTTGTGTGTAATGAATATTTTTCATTGCAGTTTCTGTTTACCAGATGTTCAGCTGCCATTTTCTAGTGAAGTAACATTGACTAGGGCGTAAGGAAATGATTAATTCTTCATTTACAGTTTTGGGAAGGGGAAATATGCAGTTGCTCTTAAATGGCACCTACTTACAGCACACAATGTAAATTGCATTAAGACATGCTCATGTGCATATGTGGTTCTGGATATGTGTGCAAGGGATCAGAAATTTTTTACCCTAGCTGGTAAAATCCACTCTTCTTAAGCACACTTTGGTACATATTGTACAAGGCAGAGCTGTGTACAAGGAATAACTATAGTGTTATTGTTGCATGTATCGTGTTCTTTAGAGGACAAACAAAAGACAACTTGCAGGAACTGAAAGGTGCCATTTATTTTAACCTGTCTCCAATGGATAGCAATACATAGTTACAGTAAATAAAGGGGAACAACAAAAAAAGAGGTATCAAATCCTATTCCTTCGGTCTCTTGCTTGATCCCCCACATGCTTTCTACTATGCAGCTTCTTGTCATTTTATGTTGTTGGTGTGAGCTGTGCTCTGACTGCCATCCCAGCTCTCCCAGCCTTTTCTCATCTGAGAGATTCATCAATCTCTTAGTAATGTTACTGGCTGGACTCTGTGCAGCAGCTCCATATCTCTCTTGTGCTGGGCAGCCCACAACTGACACAGCATTTAAGGTGTGGTTTCCCCAGGACTGAGTAGAGGGAAGGATGACCTCTCTCAGCCTGCTGACAGCATTCCTCCCAAAGCAGCCCAGGATGCTCCTGTTCTTTTTGGCCACCAGGGAGTACTGCTGACTCTTGTCCAACTTGGTGTCCACCAGACTTCTCAGTTTCTTCTCTGTGAAGACTTGTACCTATAAAAACCCTTTATATCTGCTTACATATTGTTTATTGTAACATTGCACTTTCAACTACTGCAAAACTACTCAGAGATGAAATATTGTGTAAGAATTTTTAGCTTTTTCTGCATAAATGCCTGATACACATAAATGTGAGTGAGGTTTTGTGCTTGATGTGACAATCCCCATGTAATGAAAAATCTGCAAAGAACAGAATTTCAGCATTTGATTGACAGATAATTTTAGTGGAGCTAGAAAAAATACTGCTGCTTTCTAAACAAAACTGTTGGCAAGCCTCCTTTCACTTTTCATTTTGTAATCCATTTCTTGAAGAGTTTTTTGGAAACAAGTTGTTATCTCACATTCCTTGTGAAAACCTAACCTGACAATAGAACAGTTTTTAAGAAGTGTTTGATGGTTACTCATGGGTATGAGTTAGTAGTGCCAATTTCTTCCCATTTGACACAGATAAATATGCAGATAACTGAGATATTTGGATGTGGCTATTATCACAGATCACAGAATATTCTGAGTTGAAAGGGGCATACAAGGATCATCAAATCCAACTCCAAAACTAATAGCCCATAAGGGAATAGAACCTTGGTGTTATTAGCACCATGCAGTAAACAACTGAGCTAATCTCGGGGTAAATATGTAATAGGAAACACCAATTTGTGGACTAGTAATGTAATTTGTCTCAAATGTATGATTTTTTCTTTCTTTGGCACAATTCACAGCAAATTATTTTCTTTCCAAGTTCATCTATCCATATTACATTTTAAAAGAATAAAATCTGTCTCCTATCATAAAGTTATTAATTTTGGAAAAACTCTAAGATCACCAAGTCCAGCTGTCAATGTAGCACTGCCATGTTCACCACCAAACCATGTCCCTAAGTGCCACATCCACGTGTTTTTTGAACACTTACAAGATGGTAGGTAACTCAACCACTTCCCAAAGCACTCTGTTCCAAAGCTTGACTATTCTTTCAGTAAATAAATTTTTCCTAGTATATAACCTAAACCTCCCTGGTGCAATTTCAGGCTGTTTCTTCTTGTTTTGTCACTTCTTACCAGAGAGAAGAGACTGATCCCCATCTTGCTACAACCTCCTTTCAGGTGGTAGTAGAGATGCATAAGGTCTCCCCTTAGCCTCTTTTCCTGCAGACCAAACAACCCCTGCTTCTTCATCCATTCCCTCTAGGACTCATTTTCCAGATCCTTCACCAGCTTTGTTGTCCCTCTCTGGAATCAGTGAAGCACCTCAAAATCCTTGATATAGTGAGAGGCCCAGAACTGGATACAGCACTCCAGGTGCGGCCTCACCAGTGCTGAGTACAGAGTGACAATCCATGCCCTGGCCCTGCTGGCCACAGTATTGCTGATACAGACCAGGATGTCACCGGCCTTCTTGGCCACCTGGGCACACACTGGTCATGTTCAGCTGCTGTCAACCACCCCCACCCCCACGTCCTTTTCCATAGGGCAGCTTTCCAGCCACTCTTACCCCAGCCCATGGCACTGCCTGGGCCCAAGGGCAGGAACCAACACTTGGCTTTGTTGAACGTCACACAACTGGTCTTGGCCCATCAATCCAACCTGTCCAGATCCCTCTGAAAAGCCTTTCTTATCCTTCAGCAGACCAACATGCCCACAAAACTTGGTATTACCTGCCCATATTCCATGCCCTATCTTAACTCACAAAGATACTCTTTCATTGTATTTCCTGACTTTTAAAGTTTTTTCTCAGTGAATTTAGAACATCCGTGACATGAAAATCATGGGTGAGTCCCAAGCAAACATAGCAGCAATGTTCATCAACGTTAGCACAAAACAAGCAGAATGCAACTTGAGAAAATATAAATCACAAATATACTAAGTAAAAGTTGGTTGGTGCAAAAATTGATTTGACCAGATCTGATATACATATAAATAACTTCATTTGAAGTACTGGTATCAGTGGAGCTGTTGCATACTCCAGGACAATCATCCCTAGTGTGATTTTAAATTGTTGTTTTCCTTTCTTTTTTGTTATCTTTGCTCCAATAAAATATTTCAAGCTTTTAATTGGTCAGGAGAGTGTAAGAGTATCATTACAGAAACGTCTATTCAACTGTTCAGTCTGGACTTCCTTCAGAGTTCTGATTCTTAATTTATTATATTTTTAAGTGTTTTAGAAAATTAAATAAATCCCCTTTGCTTCTTATGTGAAGATCATATTTGAAACATAATTGTCTCTGTCTCTTCCAAAATTTCAATAACAAAAAAACTAGTTATTTGCAGTCTCTAAACACCTGTAGATGCCACAATGCTGGTCCATTACACATTTCACCATCATGCTGTGGCAATTCATTTATGTACTCAGGTTTTAAAAAACTCCTAAAGTTGTTTTGCTGTCTGTTAATGTCTTCCAACAACTAGTAATTATACTTTAGTAATTGCATTAAAATACGAAGAGTAACAGATTTTTTTCTTTTACTAAATGTATTGCAGAGATACCAGTGTGATTGCTTGCCTGGATGGGAAGGCAGATTTTGTGAAAAGGAATCAAATGAATGCAATTCAGAGCCTTGTAGAAACAATGGCACCTGCATGGACCTTTTCAACAGCTATAGGTAAGCATTGCACCTCCTCACCATATGGTCATGCTCCAGGAAGGGCAGGCTTATGCATCCAGCCATTATTTTGTTTCCCAGCTTGGAAAGGAAATGTTATTACACAAATGGGAAAAGGACTTGTGTCACGGACATAGTGCTTCACTGTATTTTCATGTGAAGCCAGCAGATATACTAATTGGTATATGTAAAATTAAAAATAAAAAAAGGAAAAGAAAAAAGTATTATTTAAAAAATATTTATTAACTAAGTTTGGAAATGAATTTTGTCAAAGAAAATATAGTTTCTCTTTCTGTCATATTTGCCCTATAAACACAAGAGATGATTTAAAGAGTAAAAGCAATGGTAGTGGGCAGTTGGATGAGGAGGTTATATCATTGCTGCCATCTAGTGGCTTAAAATACCAACAAAAGAGTAATTTAACTAAAATTTATATCTCCTCAGACAAAGAATGAGGATGTGACGCTAACCATATTTTTTAACTTAAACCCTAATCTTTATTTCATGCATGCATTTATGGTTCAAAAATTATTTTATTTCATTAGCATGAGGATTGAGATTCCATAAAAAAATCTAGTAATCAGTTTCTGCTCCATGAAGCCAGGGTTTGTCTATATTATGATGTCAATACTTGAAGAGTCTTGTAAATTCTTAATGCACACTGATGAGGCTGCATATACAGCTGAGTGTAATAACTGTACATGGTACCTAGTCTAGCTGTTGTACAGTGATTACATTCCTGGTAATACAGACAATAATCAGGAAGGAAACTAACCACAGTTGACAATGGAGAATTTATTTCCCAAATAGCTAAAAATACCTAAGTCAAATAACATTAAATATATATATATATATTTCAGTATTTTTTGTCCAGAACTAAACCAAAATGATTTGTGATATCTTAGAGCTATATTTTTATGTGGTATAAAATTTCTTAGTTTGGTAAAATATTTTATTCTAATAATAGAAAGTATAGCAATGTTGGGGAAAACTGTTAAAATATCTTTAATTGCTATTTTTCCACTTTTTAAAGCCGGATGAAACGTAAAAAAATTGTTTAATATTTTAATTGTTGTGGTTCTTATTTTTCTAATATTTTTAGTTCTTTGTAGTCCATCACCTTCAAGAACAATTCTAGGTGAATGGATATTTTGCAGCCATGAATCCTTACCTGTCCTTTCATTTTCCCAGTTTTTCCAGCTAGAAAGCATTATATGTATTGCAGGAGGTAACAGGGCTTCTTCTGATTTTACTCATAGCTGGTTCAACTACTTATGCACAAATCCAAAGACTTCCTATTTTTTATTGAGAATAAAAATGCTCAAGAAGTACTTTTCTGGATTTTGCAAATACAGAACTGCTACAGAAAATATTCACAAGAAAATTGGTTTGAAGTGTAAGCCCCAGGCATATATTTTCTCAGGGCTATTTGTCCTAGCTGACATAACGGAACAGGAAAATTAGACATACCATTGAATCATCATATACAAGGGGCAGGTTACACCAAACAAAACATCTTCAAAGGTACCTAGAGTTGAAAGTGACTCTGAGACTTGGCAATACCAAGGAAAATTAGTATAGCTCAATGTTTTATTTTTATATTATAAAGCAATTTCACTTCAATCATTAGAGCTGTCCTTGTTTGTATTCAGAGATGCTAAAAGAGCATAATTACTCTTAATTTAAAAAATGTGTTGTTTTTTTGTTTTTTCTTTTTTCCTTTACTAATACTTTTCTCTTAAAAGCTACATCAACAAGGCAAAGCGTTTGTGTTATGGCAGGTAAGCAGTGGCAGTAACTGGTACCTGAACCTGAGGAAATCCAGTCATGCCTTTAAATTTAAATGTAGTTTTTAGAACAGGATAACTGGATTATAATTGCCTAACAGAAAAGATCATTCCAATTCTTGATCTGTGCCCAGGCATTGTTTTGGACAGGCATTAGTCTGGATCAAAGTCAGGCCAGCAAGTGATCTGAGAATCCATCAGTGATAGGCAATGAAGTTTTCTTGCCTTTGGCCATGTTTTGGCACTGTTTATTTTCCTGCTGTAAATTGAGCTGCTGGCAGCAATACTCAGAATATTCTGAATTTCTTTGAAATTTGCCACACCGTGACTGAGTACTTGATACCCCTTACAACTTAAATTAATATAAGGGATAATAAATTTAGCTTCCTTTTATGCCTTGATAATCTTCATTAATTTACTTTTCCATAAATATTTGCAAGTCCAGCTGAGAACATCAGTTACTTAAAAACTAAGTAATTTATTGTGCAACAGCTTAAAAATATTTTTTTGTATAGAAAGAAAGTGAATATAATGAAAAATGAAACATTTTCCTACCAAATTCAAATGTGTGATAAAACAATAATTATTCAAAACATAATTACTAATTTAAAACTTTTCTTTGGAGTTGATTTTCTTTATCTGGGGCTAGTTAGATTTGAATTCATTGTTGAATCTTGAAATGAAAACTATCTGGCAAAACTGAAGTATCAACAAATCTGTCACATGAGTATCTTTCTTTATGGATTCCATCACAGAAAAGTGAATCACATCCCAAAAGGGAAAAAATAAAAAGGAAAATAAGGCCTTCTCAGACGCATCTTTTCATTTTTAAAAAATCAGATAAGAAAGATTCTGAACCAGTAGTCAAGCTTGAATTGTTGGATGTGAATAGCTTTTAATATATCCCCTTTTAATTGACTTAATTTATGTTCAGCTGATAAAATGAGAAATATCTTTTTCTTCCTTCTCAGTTCTCAGTTTGGCTCATGACACATGGCAAATAAATTAATTTGGAAAAAAATCATACATATATTTCACGCATATATTTCCAGAGCCATGTGATTTTAATTCTCATGATAACAAGAAATCTCAACTATGGCTCTGAACATTTATGGACAGATTCACCTAGTATCAGCTGAATTCCTTATTTCTCCTTTATTGTATCAATAATTCTGAGGTTCAGCCCTAATTAAACCCTAATTAAAACCCCTGTGTCTCCTTTGCTGTTACCAACTTTTGAGTGAAAATCTATTCAACTCTCTTGCCAAATAACAGGCAACATAATTTTCTGAATGACTTGGAGTTTCTAATGATTTAGAATAGCTTGGAACTTGTCTGTAATCATTATGATATTAGAACTTGGAGAATTAATGAAGTGTCTTTCCAAAGTACTCAGTTCTTTGTGTATATTCATATTGGAATCCACAAATTCATTTTGTCAATTCTTGTTGTTAAGTTTTTTATAAAGAATAAAATGGTGCCTTGCTGCTGTTTTTCTGTTTATGACATGCAAATATACTTCTCCAGACTAAACAGGAAATTAGACCTACCTAAGTATATTTTCTTATGTGATTTATCTATCTTTTATGAAAGATCCAGTGTTTGCTTCAGTTGAGTACAGAAATGTTATCCTTGTCAGTACTTGAATCTATCCACTAAGACACCTTTTTATTTTCTCAGTGTAAACTGAAGTCCAATTCTTCATGCTACCTTATCCACTCTTGATATTTTATTTTTGCAATCAAGAGCCCTTGCTATTTTGTTTGGTTTTTTGTTTGTTTGTTTTGATTTGGAAACAGACATTTTTCCTGCCTGCTCATTCTTATCCTTTATATTTTCCTTATTGCATGTTTTCTTACATCCTGTTTGTGCAATGGGATGTAAGAAAACATGCAATAAGGAAAATATCACAGGCCTCCATTTACCCCTTCACAGTTATGGATATCATAAACCTGGATGTGTTATAAAATACTGAAAGCTCTCCTTCCCACTAAGTTCTGCAAGAACAAAAGTTGGTAAATGCAATGTCACCTTAAAATTTGAAGCTCAAGTTCCTTAAGCACTTCTGAGAAATTACTGCTAATGTGTGCAAAAACAATTGTCTGTATTTAAATTCTCTCAATTTAAACTCTTCTGTATTTATCCTGTCCTGTAGGAGGCCATAGTTTTCCTATCTCCCTTTGGATTCCAGCTGAAAGAGTAATTTGTGCTCATAGAAGAAGTAATTTGTGCTCATATTTTGCATGATTTCAGAACTCATCTCAAACTGTGCTAGTCTTCTTTAGCAATGCTTCTTCAATTAGTAACCATGCCATGATCATCCTTCTTTGTCTTTACTTAGATAATGATTTATGCCAGCTGACAATTTGGATAACCATGCTGTCAACCAGAGTTAGACTTATCCTGACTCCTTGTCGTTACTTTCTCAGTACATTTCCAAGTACAACATCTTGCCCTATTGCTTCCCTCTTTGCTACTTAACATTTTAAGCCACGTCTTTCCAGAATAATAAAATGGTTTTCTGTTAATGTAACCTGTGCTAAGCTCTCAAAAAAAAAAAAAAAGACTAGTTTTAAGTCATTAGGATTTATTCAGTCTCATGCATACCTAAATTACAGCACTGTTACAGAAAATTAGCATACTGTTTTGTTTCTTTTTTCCCCTTATGTAAAGAATTTATTTTGGGTTGTGGAAGCAGGTGATTCCTAAGTTCAGGATGTGTAAATATCTGAAAGATCTATAAATAAAAGCATGCCTATTTACACAGTGCATTTTAAAGATATGTTCATCTCTAAATGAATGAGTTTTAAAATATCATGGAATTCTAAAGGAAGTCATGATATGATTATGTGCTGTGTTCAGTGTGCCTTCTGTTTTTACTCACATTCCTTTTAACTACTGCTGTACACTTCCTTAATTTTTTTGCCCCCCAAAGCAAGAAGCAGCTTTTCCCATAGATGGGTATCACCTTGTTATTCAATGATCCCAGATGCCAAATGCTTAAGTATCTTATTGCAAGCAGCAACTCTTATGTGTCATTTCTTCAGGATTCTTTGGCCAACTCTTCCTCTCTTGCTATAGAGACACTTACCAAGACATTTGTCTGTTGCACTTCTGACTTATCTTTAATTCAGATTTGTAGGGTTTTTTCCTTCATCCTAGTGCCAAGTTATGTACATATTTCTTACTCAAAATCATCTTTAAAAGTTTATA